CCCCAAAACCCCAAAACCCCAAAACCCCAAAACCCCAAAACCCCAGATGGCAAAAATTTATTGATTATTAACCCTGTTATTTCTAAAATGAAGTTATTTAATTCTATAATGTTTTTAAAGATACCATAAAAACACACTTTTTTAAGCAAATTTATAAGGATTTTGGCCACCTAGAGAGCTCTAATGAGAGTAAAAGGAAGGGAACTAAGGCAGAGAGGTAGCAGGAGTCGGTAAGAGAGGGTTTAAGAGAGGATTAACTGTCTACTAAGCTGATAAATGATTTTTAAATTTATGCAAAGTTTGGAAGATGAGGGTTTTTGAAGAGTTATGACTAGATCTCTTGTTTATAGTGATTTCTTAGCATGCTATGCTATTTTTTGGTAGCTAAATTGCCTTTAAATAGGAGAAAATAGATATTTTAATGTCTTCGGTGAAACCTTTGACCCAAAAACTCAGAAATTTTTATCGTGTTTAACCAAGAATATTTCTAATCTTAAGGCTTCTTCACACCTTGAACCCTTGCAATTATAAAGAACTCTTACTTTTTCTGTTACAAATTCATATGTCTTACTTTATTTTTAGATTTCAAAGAAGAACTCTACAAAACCCAAAAAATTGCTAAAATAAGCTCTCCACAAAGCCCTAAGGGTCTAAATTTTAGATCTAAACCTTCATTACATAAAGCTCATTCTTCTTGCTTCATCTTCATTATAGGTGGAGCTTTGGCTAAATTTGAGGAATTATAAAATATTTGTCTTGAAATCTTATCAAACAGCCTGCCAATTTCGGAGTGTTTGAATGAACCACCGCTCACCTAACTTTCCCTAATTTCTTCAAGTTGTAAAATTTCCCCATCACTTATTTCTCAGGAATACTGTAGCTCTCATGATCCTTTGCAATGGCATTTGAGTAACCACGCTAGAAGGACGACTTGTGAAAAGAATTGATTTAATTTTTAGGGCTCATTTGTTAGTTCTTAATTGGTAGAGACTCCTTGATTTATTAATGAATTTACTGTATAGATAATAACTAACGCCTCTTGATTCATAACTGTCTTGAGGCAGCCACCCTTCTCTACCAATACACTAGATTTCTGAAGTATGGGGTGGGATTAAATTTTGGATACTTCATAATGAAGAGCTTCATGATGCTTCGAATTTAACACTCATTTCGATTATGAAAAGTTTGTCAGATCACAATCTGTCTTGAACCCTTACTATTTTCCGACGAAGGGTTAGAAGTGAACAACAAGTGATGATTTATTGGCTTTAACAGCTAGGTATGTGTCAAAAATCTCTGAATGGAATCTAAGGAAAAGATTATGACTTAAATGTGAAGTCCATAATATTTCAATTGCCAATTTACTGCCAATTTTCAAAAGAAATTATTCGTAAATAGAGATTATTCACAGAGGTTTAGAGTCTTCTAGCTTTATCCTTTATATATTTAGCCTGATATCATTAAAATATATGCAAGTTTTCCCAAGACTCTTGAAATAGTAATCGAAATCTTCAGGAGAGTTAAAGCAGAATAGATTTGATAAAAAGTTTATAGAAGTTGGAATAAAGTTAACTAATTTAGACATCTACATACTTTGATTCTTCATATCCTTTTTCCTTGATGTACTACAATGAGAAAGACTATCTATCAAGTTTTCAGCATTTAGAAGGGAGTTCTACTGTTCTGAGGATAACCTGTTAGGTTCAGAGTCTTTTTTGTCTGTAGATTTGGATGTATACATCATCTGAACTACTTCAAATCATATCTGGTGTTTAACTACACTGACACTCGATCTGTTATTACTAATTAGCTTCATCAATGATGACAAATTCTGCATAATGATCTTTCTAACAGAGATTTTTACTGTTTTGGTGAAATTTTCGATCAACTTTGCTGTTGAGGGAAACTCAGATTCTTGAATTGAAGTCTAATTTTAAGGAATAAATAAATCCAACTTGCTCAATGCAAAGACTTAGTAGGTAGAATTTATCCTTCAAAAAGACACAGAAAAGATAACTCTTCTTGACTTGCAAAGGCTCCTAGTGTTATCATACAACTTATTGGTAAGTCCGAAATTATATCAGTATGCAAGTACGGATTTTAAAAATAGTAGGTTTTCAGTTACAGGAATTCATTCATTTCCACTCTTAAAAGGCTCAAAGAGTACCCGCATTGGTGTTTAGAGAGGTTTTAGGAGTCCAGACAACCAGCTTGACCCTAGTCAGTATTTTAAAGTAGCCAAACCTGTCCCACAGGAGCTTTATTGATTCTTTAATTTATAATAATTTTATCAGCCCGTATCTTGACAAAAATTTTATGGAGCTGGCAAGTCCAGAAATTCAAATAAGGCTTCTTTGAGTGACCTGAACTGGTATTTTGCCGAAATCCTTCTTGGAGCGAGCTTTGAAATGTAATAAACGGTGTTTTGTAGGCATTAGAGTTATATCTAATCCAGATACTTTTGCTGAAAAAGAATTTTAAAATCTCGCGATTTGAAATTAAGTAGGTATCTGAGAGTAAAAGTTATCTAAATTGCTTGCTCTCTTGCCTAATCGCAAATAACAATAAAGGATTATTTAGCCCTATTCTTTGCTGCTTATGTCAGACCCAAATTCATGAAGTAAAGAAAGTCATAGGCTGGATATCCCAGATTCATAGCCAAATATTTCAACGATTTAAGCTAGCCTAGATATAGTGTTAAATATCAACGAAAGTAATTGGTCCAAGGATTTTAGCACCTCCTATGACTTTGGACTTGCTTTCAAATTTTAAGAATCCTTGACTTATAAATTAGAATGAATTTTGGTAGACTTTGTAACTGGCATGCCAAAATCCTCTTTTCATTCATAAGATTTGAAATATCGAGCATAAATTAGTGGCAATTTGCCTAAATTCAGCTCTAGCAGTTGTCTTATGAAGATCTTCATGTATAGATGCTAAAATTACCTCTTAAGCTATAATTTGATTCATTGATTGCAGTTTGAATGAAAGTTTTAGATACAAATCGATGAAAAAAGAGTATTAAAAATGGTCTATCACATAGGATTCGTCTCTAAAATAAAAAAAACCTTCTTTGTGGCTTGGGAGGACAATTTTTCAATATAAAGATCTCATGGTATAGCCACTTTGATGTTAATAAGCCCATAGAGTTAATCTCTTAGCAATGTCACCAAGAAAATCCTACCTTTCACTTTTAGGTGAAACAACTTTTCAAGTAGTTTTGATGTGTTTTTGCTCGATTTTTAGACCTTAATGAACTTCAAAAAAGAGTGTTATATTAGAATTTAAAATAATCAATTTTATCATTCTCTTGGGTAAAGAACATCCCACTTTTTGTGGGAAAATCCTCAAAAATTATACTCTGAATAACTTGTTAAACATGATGTTTTAGAATACTTTGGCTATCCAATAAAATAAAATTATTGGTTATCTTTGGCCCCACATGAGAGATGTAAGTCATTTTCTGTTTTTATTACAGGATCCTGCTAATGCACTCATTCCTGATGAAGGTTAATGAAAAAGAAGTACTTGAGAAAGTCTATTGCAAGAGTGTTTATTGGTCTAGCTCATTATTGGGAGTCTTTCTGATTAATTACCAATAACCAAAATTTGAGTCTGAGTTTAATAAATTCTCAACAATTGGAAAGAAGTTGAAATTTCTTTAATCTTCCATAATTTCTTCAATAAGAGTCCCCTAAAGGCTATCTTTCACTAATTTGTTAGCGATGAGCAAGTCTTTAAAAAGTTTATGTTTTTCCAGAATTCTTCTCTTCACTTGGATTTTTAGAACCCTTATTTAAATTTCATCCAGTGAGGTGAGGGACTTTGAAAAATCGAGTTTTTGAAGCTCCCAAGAGTATTTTCTGAAGGTTATGATAAAGAATAGGGATCTGTATACCCTGACTAACAAAATGTGAAGACTCTGACTTTCTCTGACACCATAATAATTTGGAGTGTTAATCTCCCCACCTCCGGGAATCACTATATAAGGAGGAAAATTTCTATCAAATTAATAAAAATATTAAAAATGAAATTTGAGTAAGATGGCAACTCTGATGTTTTGTCTTATCGTGACTTTGCCACTATGAAAGTTAATTAACTTTATTCTTATAGGCCAAGAAAGTTCTCCTTTGACCCTAAGGACAAGAAGCTTTACCTCTCCTCTAAAAACAGCCCAGAACCAGCCTCCAAACCTAAATTCTTTTGTGAGGGAAAACTAGTAGCTAGCGATGATACCTCCTCAGCATACAGCCCTGGATGCTTCTCTGAAGGATCAAGTCCTCTTGCTTACTTGAAATCTGTCATAGATTCAGAGCAAGACAGCTATGCTGAAGAGGTGTCTCTTGACATTGATGAAGTTAACTCAAAGAGTGCAAGAAATGACGAAGAAATGGCAGTAGAAGTCTCTTGAGATTCCAAAATGGGTCCTATCTTTGCTCTTTTCCAACAAGAGTAAAGAGACACACACCAGTTACCATGATCTCTTTCCAAACTTACTTCATAACTAATTCTTTTAATAAAAGTAACCAACATTTTTCTAGAAGACGGTTGGGGGGTTTGCTTTAAAATTCAGTGAGTCGATTAGCATTTTGATGAGAAAGTATTCCAATTCTTGATATACCTAATGATATTTCGATAAGAAGACACCTTCACTTAGTCTTAGATTAGATAAGCTTGGCGTATTCACGTGCTCAGAAAGCTTTGATTTATTGGATTTTTGAAATCATTAGCATTTGACTAAATCGTGCTAAGCTATAAGTCAGGACATCCCAAAATGTTTGGGTCCTTAGTAAATAGCCCTTGGAAGCTAGAGGAAGCGTCTACCCCTGAACCTCTTCTTTTTCTCCTAAATCCCTCATCAAAATTCCTTTGTATTGTGCAGAACCCTTCGGAATATTCCAGATTTTGTGGAAAAATCCAAACTTCGAAGGGTTTGTGACAAATGAACTTGATTTCATTTGTTCTTTTCTCTGAATAACCAAACTTCTGCTATATCTTCAGCCTGGCTCTGCCAGGTGCTGAGGTGCTGCCGAGGTTATCTAAAGCTAATATTCATGTAAATTCTTGCTCACAGATATCCTAAACCCCTCTGGAGAATCTAGAAAGTCCACTAATCATACCAATCTACCATCATTATTTTTACTTTATTTTCCCAAACCTAAAATTAAATATGTATGAAAGTCAAAGATGTAGTTCAGATTAATAAGTATCTCTTTTGGCTCTATAGAGAAAGAGTCCGATGATAAGCAAGACTATAATTGGTACTAATACTAAAAGCCTATGAGGGCTAAGAAAAGAGTAAATTTTAAAGGTTTACGAGCATTCAAATCATTTGTCGGTGAACAAAGACGCCATTAGGATGTGTTTTACCTTAATTTTAAGCAGTTTTTATTTCAAAAATTTCACAGTTTTATCCATGACTGGCATCCCAGATTGCAGCATTAATTTCAAAAGTGATTTTTACTTCAAAAAGGTTAAAAGATTTTCATAAGAGACGTCTCTTCCGGGAATTTTTTAATTTAGCAAAATTGTCTCGTTTTACATTGGGAGTACAATTGTACAATTTTTCTATTGACGACTCTTTGCAGGACTTAAAGAGTATCAAATTCTTCAGACTCTTTTGAAAGGTTTTTATCCTTAAGGCCTATCTAGGTAGGCATGGCAGCAATGGAGGATACCTCCTTGACACAATTTGGAGAGTTCTTGCTGTAACTCTCCTCCCAAAAATAGGAATCCCTTCGCTTATAAAGCATCTGCAGTAGCTAGATTACAATGTCTAACCAACTATAGTCAAGAAATAAACGAATCAGTAAAAAATGGTTGGGCACCAGACTTGCCGATTTATTCAAAATTAGTTAAGTTAAGTTCTTGGATTTTCATACAATTATTTGGAGTGTCCTCAATAACACGAGAACAGTCTGGGGTTTTGGGGTTTTGGGGTTTTGGGGTTTTGGGGTTTTGGGG